TCATCCGTCGCCCACTCCTTGACAAACGGCACCTTGCTGTAGGTCGTGACCTCCCGCTTCCTCAAGAGCTCGTCCAGATAGCCACGTTGCCCAATCATCATCCTTCCAGCCTCGTCCAGGGACAACTCAAGACCTAGAAACCGTACCACACGCTCTTTGGACACTTGCTCTCTTCCACTGGTCTCCCACGTAGCTTCCAACCAGTCGTAGAAGCCGTGGACATACTCCGGAGGTCCCACCGCCAATGTATCATCGACGTAAAATAGGACGTACCCCACGACATGCTCGCCATCCGGTAATACCTCAACAAGCTTGTGAAGGTTGTCATCGGTGACGCACGGAACGACCTTCATCTTGCCACCTTTCGGAGATGGCCAGGTCGCCTTTTTGGTCGTAGCATTTCTACGCTGACTCCACCACTTCGGGCTCCGCTGGAAGTAGACTGCAGCTGTTGCCAGCCACAACTCGCCCGGTTGGGCGACCTTTGGTGCCTCCATTGCATACCTTCGGCCGTTGGGAAGCTCTGGGATTGGAGCCCTCAGGAAGGCGGTCTTTATATCATCGGTGACTGCTATCCACCCAGGGTTCGCATTGATCTCCGCCAAACATAGTCTCACCAAATCAATTGTAGCCCCAGCAGAATACACGCCAAGCTCCTCAGCCGACTCCCCAGAGAAGTTTCCACAAGCTACTCCCCGAACCTTCCTTCTGAAGGTTCCCGGCTCGGCCCCAGGCTTGATGGTGAAGACGAGCTTGCTCGGCACGATGACAACGTTTTGGTCTCTTCTCAGAGCATCCGCCTCCAGGCCGCAATATCTTTTTATTGCAGGCATTCCCTCCAACGCACTCAGCTCTGCCTTCATGGCTGGGACCCACGTTCCACCACAGGTAGCACTGCTCGAGGATCTACTGTGTGGGTCACCTTTAGAGGGTTCTCTGGCGTCACCTTGTTCAAAAGGTGCTCGATGTTTGGAGTGTATAATGTGTCTTGGGTCGCCTTCATGATCCGAGCGTCCCCCTCAGGTTCGTCACCATCCACATCAACCTCCACAAAGTGCAACCAATCCTTTGATTCCTGGACAGCAATTGCTGCTAAACGAGGTGCTCTGCCCCTTGGGTCGAAATCTGGTGGTCTGGGCTCCTCTGGACCTCTCCATGCGTGACGCTGATCCTCAGGTAGTGCCCGATGGACGACTATCCTCCTTCGAATCCAGAATATGATCATCTCTTCCTCATTATTGGTGACCAGGTTATAGATCTTGCACGCCTTGAGAAAACTTGAGTTTAAACCTTCTGGATCATAGTCTGGTATTCGTGTCGTCCTTGTTCCAAGCATCCGCCCCACGTTCAGCTCCTCGCCATCCTCGGACATCAGGAATATTCGTGGAACATCCGTCCAATCTCGATCAACATCTGCAGCAATGGCGGCCGGGATCACTGAGTTCAAGTTCCCCTCCTCGGGTTCTTGCAATCCTCCGCCATCTCACAGCCATTTCCGCAACATAATGATCTGGACCATATCTCGCAATGGTGGTATTCCACTCCGCCTCGGACATCCTGATGTACATAAACTCCTCCACTGGCTCCAGCTCCACTTCAGCCTCTTCCTGTGGCACAGGACCTGGTTGCTCACCTTCCCCACCAATGAGCTTGCACATCCTTGGACTCTCGGCATCGTTCGTAGGCAGAGGAAACCCCAAATCCAGCGCAACGTCCTCATCAACTGGCTTGATCTTATTCAGTCCACGAACCTTGTAGACCGCCAGCACTAGTCTATCCCCGGTCCACGGCATCGTCGCATGCCACTGCCTCGGGTTGAAAGAAATCACCTTCTTCGACCCCTCCTCAGACTGTAAAGGCTTCACGCTCCCACGCTTCCCATCCACAACGACCACTTCGTCATCATCGACCACTTCATCAACACCAGCTTGTGTCCAAAGTCCCCCTTGTCTGAAGTCACTGATTGGGATCAAATAGGACAACTCATCGCGAGCATTGTGTGAGTCACGATGTCTCTTCACACTGAGGTTTCGGTGGAGTGAGAACGTAGACCAAGTAGCCGATTCACCCAAAACTCCACGAATGAACTGATTCACCAACCGTGTAGAATAAGGAAATTCCTTCGGCGAGTTCCTCACTCCCAACACACCACCATGACGATAAACTCCAGAGGCCCACGCCTTTGGTGACAAACCGCTTGCACCGCAGTCTTCTGTTTGCCGAGGTAGTCCCTGGCTTGGGAGCAATTCAAACAGCCGCTCGATCACATCCTCATTCACATCGTCCTCGTTGTATATGATCTCCTTCGCGTAGTCCTCAGGGTCTATGAACTCCATTTGACCAGTCTGTGCTTCAGCCCTTCCTTGGTCCAGCGCCGCCACACGAGGAGGTAGGTGAGCTTCTTCCACAGCACTTTCTGCAGTGTTCACCAGACCGTCGTCCTCACCAGACTCGTCCTGGTCGTCCTGTAGATCATCGTCATAGACGCCAGGCTCTTCCTGATCCTCCGGTAGATCATCATCATATACACCAAGGTCCACCCTCCGATCCAGAGTTGCCACTCGTGGTGTAGACTTGCCAACAATCCTTCTGCGGGCCCGTGGTAGTTCCGGTTCATCTCCCATTCTTTTCTCACCATCATCCCGCCCTTCATCTCCTGCATCCACCAACTTCGCCTTGTCCTTCACATTCTTGGTGCGCGTAAAGATTCCATCCACATAGACTCGATGACCATTGGAAACCTGATCTGAAAGACCCAGATATATACCTTCGGCCCAACGCTCATCAAACTCCAAGCGAATCAAAGCTCCCGACGCTGCATACCTCCTTTTCTTCACCAGGACCTTTGCACCAAAGCCTGTAACCATTCTTGGAACTTGTTGAAGCACCCGAGCTCGCTGAATTGAAGCAGCAGCCCTTGCCGCAACAGGCCAGAAAGCTTTGTCCAAGGTAGACGACGACAGGATCTTTCGTGTGGTGAGCTTGACTTCCTTCACAGCATTCTCTGCCGCACCGTTCTCTTGAGGAACACCTGGAGTACTTGTAGACACACGAATGGCCTGCCCATGGAGCCACTGCGTCAAGGATCTCGTCATCAGCTGGGCCGCTCTGTCTGAATGGAACCTCAACACTGGGATGTTCAGGCTCTGTAAGTACAGCACCACCGCTTGTACCGCTGATGCAATCGTAGGTCCCTTGTCATTCAACATCGGCTCGGCGAACAACAAATAGGTAGCCTGAGGAGGTTTCACATCCATAGGAATTGGACCCACGCCCTTGCCTTCATCACGCTCCTCTTCTGGTAGAGCGTCCTCATCAGCCGGAGTGTCCTCCTCCTCATCACCGTGTAGTAGATCTTTCGAGGAGCTGTCGTAGACGCTTGCCTTCATCACTTCCCCGCCTTCCTCCTCGTCAAATAGATCTTCGTGTCCAACTTCTTCATCAACCGGAGGATCGCTTCCTGTAGGCTCAAACTCGCCCGTCACATAGGACTTTGGGATCGTGAACTTTGCAACCAGCAAGTACTTCACACGTGCCGCCTTTGTTCGATCACCCTGTAGTCCTGAACGGTCCCGTCACATCCACATTCAAGCAAAATAAGGAAGGATGTTCCACTCGGGCATGTCGATGTCCAGTAGCTCCATGGGTAACGCACTGCAAACAATCCTTCGTGACGGATAGTGACCGGCCTTCACATGGTCCTTCCACTCCTCAGGGGACATCGCCTTCAGTGACCCATGATCGCGCTTCATGGGGCTCTTGAAATCCTCACCCCCAATCGCCCTGGCAAGACTCCTCTTCCACGCACTTGTTCATTTCCACATCCTCGAAGTAGCACTGGGGATCCAAACTTTCACCATTATAGTTGGTCACAATCGACATCACCTTCTCCTTCCCTTCGGTTCCAGAGGCCTTGACAACGTCGACCTCGTCCATGGAGGTTGCCCCCTTGAAGTCCCTCAGTGTTGTGTCCAGGGCTTCTCCTCGCCCCTCCTTTGGCGCGGTCCAACAAAACCCAACTCGGCTCGTAGGTCTCGCAAGCCTTCCAATCACATAGAGAACGAACGCCCTGGCCAACCTAACCATCTGTGAGTCCTTCATCATGGAACTCCCAGGAGTAGAACCCACAACAGCAGCGATCCTGCCCGTAGCTGCCCATAGTAGCGCTTCGTAGACTTGAGGAAGTAGGTCCGGATGAGCAGTAAGTACCACTGCGTCTTCATGGTGCAGCTCAGGTCTGGGCAGCACTTCATCTCGATGGACTGACAAATAGATGATCCACTGCTTCGAATCCAACAGTCTCTTTCTCAACCTTCGTGGAAACGGGAAGGTCTTCAAGTGTTGCCAACCGCCATCCAATCGCACTCCACTGCACAGCGCATCAAGAGAAGCTTCCGGCAAAGATTTCAGAAAGGATCCCTGCAAAGCCTTCCACAGATCCTTGGCGAGGCCACTCTCCAAGTACCTCGAGGCATAAGTGGTCCACGGAAGTCGCTCCTCATGAACTAGATGTTCCAACTTTGACTTCAGCAGGGAAACCCCTTCGCGAAACTCCTGTAGCTTCTTTTTCTCAATTTCATTCACCAACTTCGCTGCTTGTTCCTGAGCCAGTTCTGGACATCCTCCTCGAAGAGCCGTTCGTAGCTCACCCCACACTGGATGAACCACTTTGAAAACACCCCGTTTCCAACTGATCTCACATCCCGCTCTCACCAACTCGGCCATCGGCAGGATCGGCTGGGTGTCCTTCGAGGTTGACAGGATGGCCCCGGACTCAGTCTGAAGTAAGTCCCTTTTCTCATCATTGGCTAAGGTCACTGACACCCTGGTTGCTGAGGCCAACTCCCCATCATCGCGAGGATGCCGAAGGATATGTGTGGCGCCAGAGTCGATAAGCGTAGGCACCTCTGTAGGCTCAAGCGCAACCCGCCCATCCAACGAAGTTCGCTGTGTCATTCTTAAAACGCTCACATCCTCTGACACCTTCATCGTCTTCAGTCGCAGCTCATCAAGTTGGCGTTGCAGGCCTTCCAAGGTTGACGCAGGAGACGAAGCCGTAGTAGATCCCGAACTCATCAACGACCTCAGGGCTTGCGCTGCATCTCTCAACGCGTCCTTGACCTCCCCTGACTGGGAGCCTTGCTGACTGCCTTCCTGATTCACCGGCGACGTAGGAGCTGGTGGCTGTGGTTCCGGTTCAGCAACCATCGCTCTTGCTGCCGCTGAACCACCCTGTCCTCCATCATCCTTCGCTGTAGGCGTTGTCGGCGCACTCTTTGGCTTGGCTTTCCCTTTCGATTTGAAAGGTGTTCCATCACCGCCCTCGTTCTTCGTGGGACATCCACTGGCCACGTGCCCTTCACCGCTGCAAACATAACATCTCCCTTTCTTTGACACCCCATCAAAGGAATGAACAAACTTGCAGCTTGCGCCCCTTTTGCATCCCCCAGGCTCCGTAAACCATTTGCACCTTTTTTCGCCTCCACTTCCACTCGCTGTCGTACTTGTAGAAGTCGTCGTAGGTCCCGTTGTCGTGGATGTCCTGGGCTGTACTGGGCCACTTGGCTGAAAGGGTCGAATCTTGGGTGGGGTCAGCTGCTCCAGGTTTAGCACTCGTTGGAAGACCACTCGCAAGACTCTCCGACTCTGCACGGAGATGCTGGTGAAGCTGTAGCGTAGTCTCCCACGTAGGACTTGTGTCCACACCCAGCCGACTCTTCACAAGCTGGGTTCTGAACATGACATCCCTGTCCTTCGCCCACAGCTCGGAGACCACGTTGTTCAAGCCTCGGACCAACAACGATGGATCTGGTTTTGCAATACTCAGGTTGTCCGCCCTCAAGAGCAATCGTTCCCACTAACGAAGAATGGTCACCAAGTCGGTAGCCGTAGAAGCCTTCGGTGGAGACACCAAATACTGCAAGATATACGCCTTTTCACTTTCACCGCCCGGCTGGTACATTGTGTAAAGTCTGAACAACAAAGCCACCGGCGACCTCGTGATTGCCCTTGCCACCATTTCTGCACGAACGACTTCTGCCATAGCCTGAAGCATCATGCCCGCTGTGCGGGCACTCAATCGAGAGTACTTCCCTTTCTCCAAGCCATCTGCAGCTGGAGGCTTCAGGGCAAGCCACACGTAAGGCCCCGCCACCCACATCTTGCAGCTCTGCTGGGCTCGTTCCTTTACCGTGTCCCACCACCACGAACTGCTGTCCGAGATGTCCCTCAAAGGTCCATCTATGACCTCAACCCAGTCCTGAAGCGCCACTGCACTTTCATTCCCGTTGGGGGGAGCCAGCGCCGGGAGCGTAGTCGTACCCGGTTTGCACTGCTCTGGAGACTCCTCAAGCCGTCTCATTTCAGCCTTCTCCAAGTGCTCCAGTTGTGCACGCTGAAGTTGCTGTACTCCTTCTGCCAACGCTTCCAACAACTTCTCGCTTGTAGACAAAGAGGACGGAGGTTGAGCAGCTCGTTGATCTTGAAGGCCTGGTTCACCGCGTGGCACAGCTGTGGCCCGCGTCTCACACCGAGTTGCGCTGATTTCTGGTCCATAGACTGTAGGAGGTCCTGCTGGTGCCTTCATACTGCCTTGGCCTCCTTCATCAACTCTAGGCTTCACACTTCTTCCGTCTTGGTACGGCTCAAAGCTTGCACGGTTCCCTACACTGCCACTGCAACCTTCACCTGGATCCTGAGCTCCATCGTGCCTTCCAGGTTGCTGCTGAGAAAACCCACGAAGTTCACCTTGATGCTGAACACCTTCGTGCCCCCCAGGTCGTTGTTGAGGAAGTTCCCGAGGCTCACCTGGATGCTGAGCGCCTTCTTGCCCTCCGCGTCGTTGTTGAGGAAGTTCCCGAGGCTCACCTGGATGCTGAGCACCATCGTGCCCTCCGCGTAGTTCAGCCTGCATCCTCTGTTCTGCGATCAAACGAGCCCTCTCAGACCTCAACATCTGAAGCTCCTCCCACATCTCTTCCATCTGGTAAGACTGAGCCCTCAGAAACCCATCCATTTGTCGTTGTACTTTAGCTTGTACTTCTGAAGAGCCCACTGTGGAATTTCCTGTAGATGTCCCCCCACCACGACCATAAAGCCACGGAGCCCTCTGAGGAAAACGCATCATTTGTTCCCACGCATCCCTGGAAAACAACGGCGCCTCCGACTGCTGAGCACCACCTCCTTGACCACGAGGAAAATCTTCTGGCGGGGAAAACACCAGTGGCGATCCCTGGCTAGATCTGGCTCTCGCTGCTGCTTGCTGGCTTCTCGTTGGTGTGGCTGCCGGCGTTGCTTGCTGACGCTGTCTTGACAAGGTATCCGCATGTCTGGAACCCTGAGTAGGCGTCGCATTAAACCCTACCGAACCCAGCATAGAAGTCATTCAGCCTCGAAATCCAACGCACGACAGTCAAAGAGGACGAACCCGGTTGAACCTCCATATTTGCACTCATGCCGTGAAAGCTACCATCCTCCAAGGCCATTGTAGCTGCAACAGACGCTTGACCTCCCATTGCTGCCTGCCCAGGAACACCCTGAACAGCGCCTCGCACGGGGTTCTCCGTCACAGCCTGAAGCTCATTCCTTGGAACACTCACTTGCTCCGGAGTCGCCAAGGCATCTACATTCTCTAAGGGGCTTACCTGCACATCGCTAGGCACTGGTTCGCTAGTCGAACTCTGAAGGGGACCCGTGACCACACCATTGGCTAGCTCCCCAACAGTTCCATACATAGCTCCAGCCCTCCGCGGAGGTTGTCTTTGCTCAGCGGCAGCGTTTGGGCTCATCACCTGAAGAGCTTCACCCTCACGCCCTTCAGCTGAAGCATGCATGGCCCGACGTCTTCGAAGTATCGTTCCGAATTTATCGGATGATCCCCGAAGGAATCCCAGCAACCATCAAAGCGAGCGCACAGCCCTACCGGAGAATTTTCCAACGCAACACGTGCTTAAGGTCATGCCACACTAGCGCCTCTGTGCACAGCTAGCAGACATGCCTTCGTAGCTAAGTTCCCTTGAACCTCCTGCTACGGCAAACAAGGTTCCTGCAACACCGCTAGCTCCACTAGTGGTCTCTATACAAGAGGGGCCTTCAGGAGTATTTTGCACCCCTCCTTGATGCTCCCGTAAGGGAAGCCATCATCACGGATTCCGCCTGAAGGAGCCCTACTCAGCCTTCTCGCCGAGCTGGGTTCTTCCTCCAGTCCTGCAAGCACTAGTGGCACATCGGCTTTCGTGACGTTCGCGAAGCATTCCGAAGTCCATGACAGTCAGGTCTCAAGTGGGCCCGATCACCATTGGAACTCATGTAGAGGTCGCTCTCCCAAGGCTGCACGATGTATCGGACTCCTCGGGTGGAACTTCGACTGGATCGGTTTGAACTCCTCTGCTCCACTTCTCTGGTTGGAACTTTTCATTCGACAGACCTCTCCAGCCCGCATCACCAGCCGACATTACATCTCTCCCCCGGCTCACGGGTCCCGAAGTTGAGGATTGCGAAGTCGTAGCGCTCGGAATCGAAGCTTGATCGTGGGCCTTGAACTTCCCCACCAGTACCATTAGCCTCGCCTCTTGATCACGACTTCTGTCTTCACAACTCAACAACTCCAGGAGCTCCTTTCCTTCTGACTTTGAGAGGCCTCGTCTCTCAGCTGGCTTAAACATCTTCAGCTTCACGGCCTTCCGGACGCCACCTGCTGTCTTCTTGCTCCATTCCCAAACCACCACAGTAGCTACTGCAATCAACATCACAGCCAACCACAGTTCATAGTCCGAGTCCACGCCGACGTGAGCTTGAGGCGCTTCATGACCACTCACCGCAGTCGCTAAACCCAGCCCTAACACAACCTGGATACACCTACTCAGGGCCCTTCCATGCGCGGTTGTTGTTGGGGCTTGTGCTGTTGAGGTAGCTGCTGCTGCTGTAGTGTGTACCTCCGCTGCTGTCGTATAGACCTCTGCTTCCAATCTTCTGAAAGAACTCGCCGAGGATCCTTTAGTAAAACCCCACTCACCCATGAGCATCCATGACCTTTCGGCTGCCAGCTGCTTCGTCAAGCCATCTGCTAGTTGATGTAGTCCAGGTTGATGGATCAGTTGATACTCCTCTGACTCTACCAACTCTACCAGCCAATGTTCACATAGTCGAAGATGTCGTGTCCTCCAGCTGCCGCCTGAGCTCGCCACCGCTATGGCCGCTGTCGCATCGACTCGTAGCTCCGTCGTTCCAGGGGAAATACCCATGTCCTCCAGAGTTGTTCGCACCGCCCTGACCAGCTGCGTCCCCTCGCTCAAAGCTATGAGTTCCGCTTCAGCGCTACTCAAGGCCGTCAAGCCCTGATTGGCCGACCTCCAACATATCGGCATCCCTCGCCACATCACCAAGCTTCCTGAGATCGACTTGGCACCCGTCGGGGAGTGGGAAGCGTCACTGAACATCGTCAAGCCATGAGGTAGATCGCGTCCGATCACAAAGCCGGCCTCCCGGGTGGCATTGAAGTACGTCAAGATTTTCTTGGCGATGACTATCGCCCGCTCCGGCCACCTTGTCGTCAGTCTCGACATCATCATCGCCGCATAGGCCGCGTCTGGCCTACTCCGCTGGGTAGCCCAGAGGATTTCACCACACCGCTGCTGGGCCTCCTTCACGAGCTCTGGGGCGCAGTTTGCGTCCTTAGGAACA